TGTAGGACTGTACATTGCATTTGTGATTACAATAGAATTATAATAGAAGGTTTGGTTTCAACTGAGGCTAAAAAAATTAATTTTATAATGTCATAACATTTGATTACGTCATCATTTATTAACCCTACTATCACACCAAACTAGTTCTCACTACGTTCTCGAAAACGGGCTTCAACTGTGTACGAACGGACTGGACGTACTAAGAACCGTTTGGGATCCATTTAGAAACTTCATCGAACGTACTCGAACGGGTAGGTCCTCTAGAACTTAGACAATGCTCAAAATGTTCTCGTGGTCGTCACGTTCTACAATTAGAACGAGTGACAACGTACTAACGACGAGCGGGACGTACTACGAACGGAACCGTCGTACTTCAGTCCTACTAGGGACGTTTTAACAACGAGTTGAACTGTCCGAGGACGTGTTGAGAACGAGGTAGAACTCATTGCAAACGGGTTTAAACTGATTAAGAACGTATTTAACACTGCTTATGAACGAGTTAGCAAAAATATAGCTATCACACCAAACAAGTTGCCCCTGCGTTCTTCAAAACTGGTTTTAAACTGTGTGCGAACGGAATGAACGTACCTGCAACTTTCTAAGGTCTATTTACGAACTTCATGAACGTTCTCAGACGGGAATGTGATTTTAGAATTTTGAATCGATTCAAAATTCGATTGCGACCATACCGTTCTGTTATCAGGTCATGATGACCTTCTAGACTAAGGGACGCGTTCTACGGCGTTGCACACCGACGTGGTGCGACCTGAACGAACTGCGAACGAGATGGACGTATTGAAGACTGTTTAAGAACGAAGAAGCTAATTATTTCAGACATATTTCCCGACCACAGCCAGATTGAGCCCGTTTTACGACGTTTTCGTAGGACTGGCAAGAACGGGTAAGAACGAGTTTGGTGTGATAGGGGGTTAGGCGCTTAACACGTTCATAAATCTGATATTCTTATAATTCGTCGTCTATAACGTAAGCATACCACACGTATGGACGTATAGAGCTTGCAATAAATGATAGCGTAATCAAACGCTTCATAGGCTGTATACGTTATACGAGAATAATGAACATGTTATAAGTGAGTTGCGAAATCTCTCTACTAATATACATTTACTTCAAACGAATACACAGTGCCCTTAAGTGTTGCCTCTGAAATGACAGACAATGAAAACATCAGACAAAATACTGTTATTTTTGTGGTGGATTTAGGTTTTGCTGTCCAATATTCTGTATCCTCCAAACATGCAATGCACATAAATGATTTCAAACAATTATTTTCAGAAATAAAACTTATCCAATGTAGTATTTAAATGATTGTTACATAAATTCTCAGATATATCTAATCTAAATGATTATTCCTTTAAAGGGGTTAACTGTGTGTCAAAACAAAAATAAATAAAGCAGGGTGGAAGGGGTTGAAAATCGGGAAAACATTTCAGAAAAACATGTTGGTGGGTTGTTTGAATCTTCCCTGTCTCAAAGTCGAAATTATTTTATCATCTCTAGGAGTACTTTACTGGAGGTAATGCATTGGTCTAACATATGCAACTGTTAAAATCCTCAGAAAATAGCCAAAGTCCAACATACGAGTGTCCGAAATCTTTTTTTTCTCTACAAACTATTCAGGTTAATCTCAAAGTGACATCATACATGTCAGACAGTGGTTGTTCCATTAAATAAATGTAGTATTTTGTGACTTGAAGTTCCCATTGACATGCCTGGTGTTTGTTTACCTTTTTGCCTAAATATGCCTGAAAAAATATAATTGTCATTTCGTGAAATACGTGTATATGCAAAAAGTACATTGAAAATGAAATCGAATGAATTGTGAGTTTCAGTTTTACAGTCAATAATTACCACAAGACTTGGTTTTGAAAAGTATGCAACTTCGAAAATTATAAAATGTGATATGGCATCATCCCAGGCTCCAATTTTATGGAACCAGAATATCTTTAAGTAGATGAAACATTGATCTCCGAGAAAAACAACGTTCACTCCATCTATAAACAACAAACAAAGTAAAATAGGCAGTTACACGATGTAAATTCAAAGTTGTCGACCTTTGATTTTCAAAAACAACTTCTTGATAATTACTAGAGTAAAGGCCTAAGTCAAGGTGGTTCAAACTTGACATGCGACCTTAAAGCATTTCCATTTAGCTTACTTAATAACCATATAGGCCTACATGTGTAATAGATATTACACATACAGTATCGGCAAAACTCTATCTACACAGGCCTAGTGGCTGTACCAAATCAAGCGTGACAGTAGACTCGCGGGATAAGGTAAAACACGAGGATGATGAAATCTAACCAAACTGATGTTTTCATTGTTTCAGAAAGATCTGATCTAGTTTCTAGATATTCATTCATTCTGATCGAAGCGATGAAAATACAGTTTTGCTCAAATCTAATCACCCTCGTGTTGTATACCTTACCCCGCGCGTTCAAATGTCACGCTACATGTATGTAGATGGAATGCACTGAAATAAAAGTTGTAAATTATATCCATTGCCTTCAATCTGTTTAAAAAGATGTTCATTCCTCAGGCATTTTGACGAACAAAATCAAGATACGTGTAGCCCTATATTAGAGGTTTGGTGCGAGAGCCATCTTTTTTTTACAATACATAGATTTTATCGTCTAATGGTCTTGCGACATGCAAATGTTCAACAAGCTGTCTCTGCCATCTATAAATCCATAACTCGGAAACTAAGGCTGAATGTGATGTTCCTGGTTATACATATTTACTGACATTGCAGTCGATATTACAATTACATATTACTCCGGACAATATTTGTACAATGTTTGTACGAAGGCAATTTTGACTTTTACACACCATCGTAGTCATTTTACAGGTTCACATTCAGGAACATTATGACTGAGTTACATCTAGTTCTGTGTATCAGGCATTCACAGTTGGATTCAGGTAGGTATTAAGTAGGTATCAATACAAACATGGACACTCTAATTTCCCCGTGATAGGCCACAAAATTCTTTTAACGATCTCAGTACTACTTCTAAGGTGGTTTTAACACAGTTGGACCAACTGAATTGAGAATCAAGATATTTTCCGAGCAGAAAATACATGTTGCTATAGACATGTAAAGATGGCACTTTTATCGCGATTTGTTATTGTAAGTATACCTCGGCCGCCATCTATATTAGATTTAGATTGGTTTCATTAAAAGTGGAGGGATGCGATTTTAATTCAATCGAATGAAGAAGACCTCAATTTAAATACATCATTTGATGTATTTAAATTGAGGTGCTAATTCTATCTGTTGTTGACCAATACCATTCTGTACGTCCTTCTCAATGTACTGTTGACTGCAATTAAGATATTGTACTAATGGGGTCAAACCTTTGAAATGAAGACATTCAGAAAATGTAGAACACTTGAACTATGATAATTAAACCTAATAAAAGATAGTCCCAAAACACAAAGATAAGACCGTGTGTCAACAAGTATTCTGCTTTTCATGTGCTATATATGAGATAATGACACTCCGGTATCTTGGATAGCCAGAGGTACACCACACCCATGGCCAGGGAGTCATGTGTGCTTTAATCCCGGGGATTAAATTCAATAGTATCTCAGTCACTTTGATCTACGGCAACCGTACGGTGGTAGTTGCTACCTAAAATTGAGAGAAAGACGCAGCATAAAAAATAGGAATAAGCAGTGCGATGTAGAGTTTCTATATCGATTTTTGTTAAGCTACGGGCGGCTGTCGTAGAGCAAATGTTACAGATGATTAATTGTTGGACCGTAACCATATGTAGTGATGACCAGACCATTATTGGGAAATAAGTTTCAATTCAATTATGACTGAGTTACATCGAGTTCTGTGTATCAGGCATTCACAGTTGGATTCATGTAGGTATTAAGTAGGTATCAATACAAACATGGACACTCTATATTTCCCCGTCATTGGCCACAAAATTCTTTTAACGATCTACTACTTCTAAGGTGGTTATAACACAGTTGGACCAACTGAATTGAGAATCAAGATATTTTCCGAGCAGAAAATACATGTTGCTATATATGAAAAGAGGGCATAATGATCAACTATTATCATTATTGATGTTTCCTTAAACAGAAAAATGTTATAGGCATAGACCTGTAAAGATGGCACTTTTATCGCAATTTGTTATTGTAAGTATACCTCGGCCGCCATCTATATTAGATTTTGATTGGTTTCATTAAAAGTGGAGGGATACGATTTTAATTCAATCGAATGAAGAAGACCTCAATTTAAATACATCATTTGATGTATTTAAATTGAGGTGCTAATTCTATCTGCTGCTGACCAATACCATTCTGTACGTCCTTCTCAATGTACTGTTGACTGCAATTAAGATATTGTACTAATGGGGTCTAACCTTTGAAATGAAGACATTCAGAAAATGTAGTACACTTGAACTATAATAATTAAACCTAATAAAAGATAGTCCCAAAACACAAAGATAAGACCGTGTGTCAACAAGTATTCTGCTTTTCATGTGCTATATATGAGATAATGACACTCCGGTATCTTGGATAGCCAGAGGTACACCACACCCATGGCCAGGGAGTCATGTGTGCTTTAATCCCGGGGATTAAATTCAATAGTATCTCAGTCATTTTTGATCTACGGCAACCGTACGGTGGTAGTTGCTACCTAAAATTGAGAGAAAGACGCAGCATAAAAAATAGGAATAAGCAGTGCGATGTAGAGTTTCTATATCGATTTTTGTTAAGCTACGGGCGGCTGTCGTAGAGCAAATGTTACAGATGATTAATTGTTGGACCGTAACCATATGTAGTGATGACCAGACCATTATTGGGAAATAAGTTTCAATTCAAGGGTGCAAAACCGATCTGAGAATCTTTTAGAAGTTTGCATCTTATTCTTCGATATTTATCGCAACAGTCTCAGACAATAGTGAGAGACTTCTATGACTTCCTTCTTTCTTGATAATATTTTTGTAACAGAAAAACAGGATGTAATGGGTATAAGAAGTGTCTACGACTACGTATATTCCATCGACCAAATCAACAATAACTCCTTTCGATAGACAATTTCCACTCAATAAACTGTTTTATGAAATGAAAAATCTCCACCAAAAACACCAACATTTTATGTCATACTGTTTAATAGTTTATTTCATAAATAAATCAATTTACAAATAGCAACATTACACAAAAACACAATCCTCCAATTTTCGAACAAATCTCGAATATATGGAATCATCTGAATACGTACGTTTTGTTGATAAAGTTTCAATTCGTAAAAATAGTGTTTTAACTTACATAACATCAATGATCAATCTAGAAAAATGACGTTTCTGTTTTAATTTATGTTGTTGTCATTCTGTAACCGTTTTTATACATGTTTATTTCGTAAATATTTACAAATATCGAGATACTTAAATTGATTTCTCCAAGTATCAAAATAATTGATGATATATGTAAGAACACTATTTTGTGCATTGATAGCAGTATCTATTTCTATCTGATTGGTGGTGTTATTCTAGATATAAACTTACATTTGCGTAAATTTTGATAAACATAATTCGAACTAATTACTAACTGGGTCAAGCAAGCGTTTATAAACAACAATGAAGTGAGATTTACCGATTTCATGGAGATTTTAAACTGGTCTTTGTTGGCGTTGATTGACCTCACCAAACCCATATCTTTGCCGAAGTCGGTTTTCCATGTGCAATGTCAACATGTCGCTTAATTCAAAGTTGAGTTGCTGGATGCGATACGTGGTATTATCCATGTGCTCAAGACTAGTAACGAAAGTTTCTATCCACACTAGGTTCGTACAAAGATCAGTCATCATAACACAATCATTGTGTCGAAGAGTATGCTGGAACTCACCAACCATGTCGTGAAAGTTGGAAAAGTCCCCTTTCTTCTGCTGTTCGATCATCTGTTTCACCTCATTGTGTTGGCGCTGCATCATGAACTCTTTTTTATGCCTTACGGTCGCCTCACGATCGGCAATCTGATCCCGTTTATAGTTCTCTGTAGCCTCGCTGATGTTCATTATAATCACGGCAATGAAGACATTTGTGAATATGAAGTGACCGACAATGATAAAGCTAATGGTATATACTCTACTGCCAACCATATTACGTCTATCTAATTCATCTTGGAGGTCAGTCCAGCCATCAACGGTGACGAAGGTGAACAGTGTCAGCATGGCGGCTCCTAGGTGACCGAAGTGTTCTTTGTCTCCGTCCTCTCTATATCCAAACAAGTAGTAACCCATAATGCCGAATAAGAACATCATAAGAAGTAGAAGCATTACAATATTTACAACAGATTTGCGGATGGTATCTATTAGAGCTGTAACAAGAACTTGAAGGCCTTTTATGAATGAAACACTCCGAAGTGTCCTAAATGTACGAAGTGCCCTCAACACCCGTAGGGAATCAAGCCCCGATCTGTCTGCATCGAACAGTGCTAAAAAGTCCTGTAGAAAGGAGATCGAAAGAACAAGGAAGTCGAAGAGATTATAGCCACTTCTCCAGTATCCCTTTGGCTCTGCGTAGACTTTCATAATAAACTCTATCGTATATATTGAGAGGAAGATTTCTTCTAACACAAAAAATTCATTGTGGTAGCTCTGCTTCATAGTCATGTCAGTTTCTAAGGCCATGAGGAGCGCATTGCAAAAGATTGTTGTCATTATGGCTGCATTGAAAGCCGTTGACTCTGTAATTTTTGTTACATAATTATGGAAATTGTCGTCAAACCTGACGTCGTGTGAACTTTGCTGTTTATCGTCACCTTCTACAGCGGGATCATTTTCGGTAGAGATCATTTTTGTAATATTTAGGTCCCTCCGGTGCTTCAGCAACTTTGAATACGTCTAAACCATGTACACGTTATCAGTCTCGTGTGTGACGTCACATGTTTATTTTGGCAACTAACAATCAAGTAACTTTGGCGATGCCAATAGTGTGTATTTCTATTGGAGTTTATTATGCATGACATCACTAACAAAGCTAAATAATTTCATATTGATTATATAAATGTAAATAAGCCAATTATTGTTAATTGATAATATTTGTAGAAATATAAAAAGTGAAGTATTTTGAAGTAGATACCGAAGAGAGTGAAACATGTTCAATGTTAGATACTGATAAACTATTATACGTAGAAGCTTTTTCATCTAAATTGTTAATCGGAATAGTTTTTACATCAATGTTTACCCATAATTAGATAATTTTAATTTGGTCTACATAAACCCAGGGGTCATTGAATGTTCCAGAGCTTTTCTTCTCAATGAAGCAATGTTGGTTCCTCGCCAGGCATCGGACATGTCCGCCATTTCATAAGCCATTTGGGAAGAAACCGATGACGATACCGGTGACGTCGAAAGTGGGGACTCGCAGGAAACTGGTACGCCATAAGGATTTGATCCATACATCGATGTGCCATTCCCTAGCATTGTATTTGGCAAAGAAGATTGCATTGTCCCTGGTTGTGATGAACTTAAGCCACCCATACCAGATGACAAAGACTGACCAACGTACTGCCTGGGTAATGTTGGCGCTAACGTAAGTGGGGCGCTACTCATTTGCGACATCTGTGTCATACCCATGCTTGTCCAGCGAGAATCTGGGAATGCAAAGGAATCATTCATGGGACCCACAGATCCAAAGGACGTCAGTCCATGAGACGGTAGGAGAGACCCTGGGGTGCGGAAAACGTTTGTGGTCTTCTTTCTCTTCTTCCATTTAGCGCGTGTGTTTTGGAACCATACCTGAAAGAACATGGTAAAATCCTTGCTAAACACCTTGCAGTCGACGTCCATGGAAACATTAACAAGTAGATAATTTAGAGGAACAAAAATATTATTTCCTTAAGTATGTCCTTACTGCACATCAAGTCATTTTAGATCAGGTAATTGAAAAATTCTATTACAGGAGCAAACAATAAATAGAGAAAGCGTTGGATTATCTCAATTTTAATTTTTGTGGAATGCATTTATTTGTTGCCTTGTAAAGCAAACAGATCGTGATGAATCTACGTATTCTTCATAATTACTCATCCTCAAATGTTAACTGGGAAAACCTTAACGATGACAATCTACAAGTATGATGTCCCATATATATGCATAATATAATTCACACAAACCAATATGGTTTTTATTGTTGTAGTGAAACAAGGTAATAATTTTGGAAGACAATTAAAGATGGCGGGTAGTGTTGTTCAAATTACATACTTTCTCATGAATTCCGTTCCTCTGTTAAAGATATTATATGTGCGATGCCGCTCCTAAGAGTTTGCGTGAGCTAACTATATAGTGAACCCAAATATCATTATTTTGGGAGATGAGAGATCTCTTCCTGGGATTAAAGCAGAGGTCAATTGATTGGCAGAAAATATGTACAAACAAATAATAACAAGTACATTTGCATTTCCATATATTTACAATATTTCAAACAAAATAGATAAATACAAGGACATTTTTTCATATATTTACATATTTTTATTTCAGGTGAAAGCAAAATAAATAAATAAATACGAGTACATTTCTTATATATTTACAATAGTTAAAACAAAATAGATACATACATGTACAGGTACATTTATGTACATGTATCTCCAAACTATTTACGATAGCAACAGATTAAATAAACATACAAGTGAAATGCACAACACGTGCAAATGCTATTATAAATAATTTGGATTCTAAGTTTACTGAAAATAAATAAATATATATATATATTTATATACCGTGCCATATACAGGGTTTGACAAAAACTGGAACAATTTTCTTTTTAAACATGTATTGTGTCATGACTGAAGTTAATACATGAAGGTTATATGAATGGGTTAAACAATGGGTCAATATTTTATATGACCCTTTATTATCCTGAATTGCAATTTCAAATTGGCACCTGAAAAATTATTTTGATTTGCCACTAGAAAATTTCCTCCAAACTATATAGATGACAAAACTTCAACTTAGACAAACGTCCCATATGTTTTCTCTTGACAACCAAATCTAGTAACATGATCAAAAATTTGCCGCCAATGAGGAACTGCCACGCCCACTTTTGTTTAATATGGACCCTTTACGGGCTTTTTGCTTAGAAAAAAGTACACTAACATATATTTGAAGTTTTAATATCTTTGAAGAAAATAAAATGTTTGGATCGACCTGTTACATAAGACATGGATTTTAGCAATATTGTATATGTTAATGTAACTGCTTTCAAATGTTTTCTATGAATAAAAAAGTAATAAAAAAAAGATTTTAGCAATGCATTATACCGTGCATTGTGTGTGTATACGACATCACATTCCTAAATTCAAATGCATCGATCGCACTAGTGCGATGGCTAAGTCTTTTACATATAAAGTAATGAGTAAATCATGCTGTAAATAATTTAATTTTCTGATGTATACTGTCTCTATTTAAATAAACTAGTTCTTGATGCACTAAACAATATTCATTTGTACAAACCTAAAATAGTTTATGACTATATACAGTACAGTTTGCATGATCGCATTAATATCTGGCATTTATTTCATACAACATCAGATCCAGTGTATGGACATTTTAATGACAATCCAACCACATATTATTGTTGTACAGATATATGTGTTTTGTTCTTTAAAAAATAAGCCATTAAAGATATAACCTCATAATTCTAGAGAAAAACAAAGTATATATACTGAATATAGAGTTTAATTTCTCTAGCTTGACTTAATGACTAGTAGACTCGTTGTAAGTAGTGGAATATATACAATATTATAATACAATAGTACAATAAATGAAAGTGTACATGGTAGGTCAAATATGAAGCCAAAATGGTACCGTCTATCATACCATTAAGCTATCGTGCACTCTTGATTTCTTATTCTAGATGAAAAATATAATTTATCTCTTTGTACTTTATATTTATGTTTTCTTATGACGTGAAATATACTAAACGACATATTAGTACAATCAGTCATGCAATTAACTTAGGAATTCAACAAAAAATGTATCATACAAAAATATTCAAAGGAATGATAAATTATTTGTGAATCAATTGTCAAAGCAAGACAAAAAATCATATCGCCTTAAACCGTTAAACCATAGTAGTGTGGAAAGATAAAATGAGCTAGGTTATATATGAGAACTTTCAGTGATGGCAAGAAACAGCCTGTTCCTATTCTATTAGCGATATTAACACCTACATTACTACTATCTCAGTTCAGGAAATTAAACATAAATTATTGTCCAATGTTTCTGTAACTCTGTATACAGTTTCATTTTACGTTAAGGGTGTAAAACACTGTCTTCCGTGTTGATCATTTTTTATCGAAACCCAGATGTCATTGAATGTTCGAGAGCTTTTCTGCGAAGTGATGCAATACTCGTTCCTCGCCACGCATCGCCCATCTCTTGCATTCCACACGCCATCTGTGAGGGCATTGATGTCACGGGTGACGTAGATAGGGGTGATTCGCAAGACGATGGCACGCCATAGGGATTTGACCCATACATAGATGAACCATTGCCTATCATTGTATTTGATAAAGACGCTGCATGCATTGTTCCAGATGAAGGTCCAAGGCCTCCTACACTTGTTGGCAAAGATTGCGCAATACCTTGTCGGGGTAATGATGGGGGCAACGTAAGTGAGTTACCGCCCATTTGCGACATCTGGGACATACCCATACCTGTCCAGCGTGTATCGGGGAATGAAAACGAGTCATTCATTGATCCCATGGAGCCCATAGAGCCAAATGGTGACAATCCGTGTGACGGTAGGAGTGCCCCTGGTGTGCGGAATACATTAGTAGTCTTCTTCCTTTTCTTCCATTTGGCTCGCCTGTTTTGGAACCAAACCTGCAACACAGCGAACGAAAAAGATGTCAGACATGAATATTTATCATCGGATCTTGAAAGTAATTTCAATAATATCAACTTTATTTCATAAATATGTACGTCTTAGCGTGGGGGGAAATTAAGATATCTAGAGGCAAAATACATGTATATGCACTGCTATATCATTTCAGTTTATATCAAATTATTAATCAAAGTTCTTCAAAACACTGACCTTTATTGTTTGAAAGTGCTGCTTTATTCCAACTTTCTTGACCGATGGGACCAAAATGGTGGAATTGTACCCCTGGTGAAAAACAGTGCACGACCAAGACAGCAAAGGCCACTATTTTGAAGAACTTGGAAAAGTTATTAAAAAACGTAGTCTATCAGGTTTTTATCATCGTGAGATATCACAGCATTCTCTCAGTTTCAGAGATGGTCTGAGTATTAGAATGGGTTTTTATACGTTTAAGTATATGCCACCAATAGAAAACATATATTGAGATGTTAAATGAAGTTGAAGAGAAAATTGCTATTTTCTGGCCTCTTTCTTACTAAATAAGTATGTGCAACATTTAGAAATCCGAACTTAAGCTTATTATACATTATCTACATTTATCATTCGTCGTGTCTGGATGTACTTACTAGAGAATTGCACTCGTGCTTTCTTAATTTAATGCCACGTTGATATATTTCATTTGATAGATTAAAAATAAGTGCTCAAATAAAGTACCCATCTTTGTAAAAAAAATTATTTATTTTATATTAGTTTCAGATTGGAATACACAGTTATATACAACAGCTATGCGATTTGATCCGATCACATTGATCGCACTATCACACGCATAAAATCAGTGAATGAGTGTATTTTGAGGACTTCTCGTGATACATCATCTAACCGAGGCCTTCAAGAAAACAAATGATTATGTAAAGTATAAAGAGTTGCCTTTATTGAAATATATGAAGCACGGGGGCCATTAGTATGTTATAATATCGTGATTAATGCTCAAAGTAGTTACGGTAGTTGACAAAGCTTATTACAAGGCTTTAATAATATATGCAAATTTTGGTATAATGGCCTTCGTTTTTATGCCTATGGAAAACGAACAAACTAATTACTATTGTAATGCGGCATTTTGTCAAGGAGAATGTTTCACTTCACAAACATTAATACTTTAACCCAAAAATATATTATTTGCTTTGGTAAATTAACTACCCCCAGTATTTCCTGAGTTTATAGCTATTTCCGGGATCGCATAAGATAGAATGCTATCCTGGACAAATTACGCGGTTGTAGATTGATAAAATGCGGATGACTTTCTATTCAGATGTAAAAATGCTTCCGCGATGAAAATTCAGGAGACAAGTGAAAATTAATTTATGATTTCGTATAGGGATTCTTCCAAAGATGCTCGAGGGTGCTCATCCCTAGTTGTTCATTAGATCTATTTACGATTAATCTCCTTCATTCAACTCCAGTAGTCTCAGAAAAATAAAGGATTATTTGAGAGGCCAGTTCTCGTTGACAGGTCTCGGTGTCAAGAGTCCTTGTACCTAAAACCACCGAATAATCACTAATCGGTTCATTATTCTATTGTGCATATTTTCTGATCAGAGCACTCAAGAATATTGTCTATGGCACTTGTGAGGAATGGATGATCAAAAACGCCCTTTTCTAAATTAGACAGGGTCATTCCCGAGGCATTTTAAATTCCCAACAACATATTCTTAAAGATCTGGAACATAAAACACCTATATTTAACTGACTCTTAGATGGAAATAAGCTATTTTCCGAAACAAGTAGGGTGAATGTTACTTCCTTGGTACGGCATTATGAATGCAAGTCATATGTAGAAAGATGTAAAGTGCTTTGGATCAAGAACAAGAACGTAAGCCTGTCATATCGCCCGGAATGTTATGTCAAGAGAACCATTATAATTGCTAGTAATAGGTATTAATTCACTAAATTACCAGCCAGAGCATAGATCCATTGTCTCGTAATGAATTCTTATATAAACAATAGTATAGGCATGGAATCAATGTAGAATACTAATTTCTTCAGATTTCTTCCCATGTATTTTAACTTGCGTTCGTCTACTTTTCAATAGTACAATAACGTCATTTTGAAGGGCAATATAGTGAAATATTGGACCGAGGGTCGCGATATAGTAAAATGAATGCCTTCTATTTATATAACTTTTATTGACATCTTGTCTAAACTAGCACTAAAACCCCTAGAACTGGCCCGACAAGGTGCACGATTGTACCCTATTCCATCTACCATTAACTTCGATTATAATTGATTGTATTATCTCTATTCAACTTATTCTAAGGTGAGAAGTATTATATGATTAATCGTCACTATATTTTGCCGTAATTTGTAAGTTGCACCATTTTGGTGTAGTATCATAAAAAATAAACTGATAATATAAGATAATACTCAACAATGTAATATAATGTAATGTAATATGATACAATATTATACATAACTAAAGATATAATGTAAAATATAATTACTAATGATGATAATATAAAAGCGCGTACGATTTATTGAATCAATGTCAATATCAATTTTAAAGAAAATACTAAGTAACGAATGAAGGGCGTTTAAAATTAATAAATTAAATTATGTGCAATGTGTTGAAAAGTAATAGGCCAAATAAATACCTAACTAACCCAATCAGAGACTAAACTAGCCCTAATTGAATTTCTATCTTCGAGCATTACTCAATTGACATAATTCTCATTGTTTATATTCCAGAGGAAATATACTTACGGATTCCAGAAACAAGAATTATATTATGCATTCCCCATTCTCGGCTATTTATGAGATTTATGAATTGATACTAAAGGGTTGAGAAAGATTTATAGGGGAATTACTGAATGAATAACTTTGACTCTAATTGAGGGTAAAATTGGAAGCATAAACAGGCAATTAGGCGACTAATATCTGCTTAATTAAGTCTTTAACACTCCTCTGTCTTTGTCTTTAGTCCATAATAAACTGCAGCGTAAAAAGAAGTCCCGCGAGATCCAGTTTGCGTGATTGAACGTGAAACATCCACCACAGAAATTAGCTTTCACGACACAATCAAATTATCCTATTATCTCGAGAAGGATTCTTTGCATGCCATGGTCTCCTTCTGAGCCAAGATGCCAGTAAACAGAAGTCCTGAGATATAGTAACGTCTGTGACTATTAGCAAAGACAAACATCTCCATTGACCCTGTGCATTGTATCAATCTCCTTTTTCTTCTCAAAAGTGGTCCACGATGCTAAGTGGTAAACGAGACAAGAACAAACTGTTTCCACTGGACCATTCAAACTGTAACTCTATCAGTTCATCCAATGTGTTTTTAATTTTGAAGATTTGTAACATTTCAAGCATACAATGATTCGAATTGTAAAAGATCTGCTCGACGTTTATAGACGTAACCACAATATTCGTGTTTGGGTGTAATAAATAATAAAAGGTGCGGATAGCTATTTCAATGTGATTATCTGGGGAATAATAATTGATAAATTATGAGTATTTAAGTCAAATATGTTAAAATGAATTACTTTTCTATCACCTTGAATGGAAAGGTTAAAGAAACTAAGACGAACAAGATGTGATCAAATAAAATACGGCCATTGTAAATGTAAGCAAGTCTTAACTCATATAGCAGTGTACCAACGCAATTAACCATGAGACGAAACTTATCGTAAAAAAACACAAACATATGTGATGAAGCTCGAGCTAAGTATAAGCTTCAATAATAATTGAAATCAGACCAAAGTGTGATTTTCTCTGAGGTGGCTAAATTGCATGGTTGTCTCCGGCTGCTTACATAGCATGTGCTTTGAACGATAAGAGTCAAAATGTTTAATCTTAAAATTAATCTTAATGACAATATTTTTGAAAATATTCAAAACTAACAGAGAGTACAATATCAATTGTAATGATAAAGATTAAATAAAAATAATTTAATATAAATACAAAATATTTTAGGCGGATTAGAATACTTGCAAATATTCTCTTCGGCTTATACTTTCCTTAGCACTGTGTAACTGTTACATAACAATATGAATTTTATCACCTTTTGATATTTGTATGAATACTAACATAAGTCCTGACCTTATTGACTGTTTATCTTATTTTAATGAAATTAAATAAACCATTGTAAAATGTGTTATAGGCTTAATCACGGCATGGGACTCGGTCCTTTCACAATTATTAATTGAAATAAATATTATTAATAGAACGAAGTCTATAGATTATTACCAAAGTGTCTTGTATTTGAAAATAAATCTCCACACCGTATATTGTTACAAAGTGTAATTGCTCTAATAACATGTTTTGTTAGGGGTATTTGCATGGCTATTAATTCAACATAAATGATTATATAAATAAAGATTAATGGCATAATTGGAATAATTGTATGCTTTATTTGGCACGCGTTACATTTTATCTTTACCTGTAATGTCTACGCGGTGGTAGAAAGCATTAAGATCAAGATGATTAGTTCAGATCATTGTAGTTTCTTATAAGATCTATATTTTAAATCCCCAAGTCCGCCAAAAAACAAACAAATACAAATAAATGTAATAAATAAATGTTCATATAAAATGGTCAAGTGTCAAATCACAGAATAAACAATAGGCATCAACAGACACACGGCTTTGTTTTTGTTATTGTTTATGTCGTACTCCATTGTGTACAAGTTGGTCGCGTTGTGTTAATATGGTCAGTGACTAGTAACTAGCAAAACACACACTAAAGCAACGTTTTTGTAAATATTTTGACTGGTTGGAATAAAAAGAATTGTATAATTTTTTTAACAAAATATTATAATAAACCTGTAACCAGTTTCTTCACGCTGTAAACATGCAAGAAACAATCGCGTGGTTTTCCCGGCCCGGGTGGTTTAGTTTTACCTCTGTTTGGATAAACAGGTGTACACTGACAAACGTCGATCTGCATGTGGTCTACTACACAGGTTAACAGTTTTATCAACAGGTGAACAGTGACATGAGATAGGTGTCACATAACATGTATACAACATGTACACTGATTGATTAATACCATAATTTCAATCATTGTCGATGCAATTAATTTCTCAGTCGGACAATTACACTTTCATGAACTTCAATGTAAACCATCCCCATAGTTAGTTTGTAGTGTAGGTTATGCAATATACATATTCAAATAGTATAATTGTAAAACGAAATTAAAAAATTATCAAAATCCATCAATTATTCAATTGTGATGACAAGACTGCGATTATTAATGGATTTTGCTAAAAAAAATAAGAAGGTTCTAATTTTTGGAGCAAACCCCATTAATAATCGCAGTCACTTTCTCTATTGTAATCAACTATTTTACCCACATACGTAAGGTATGGTTAACCATCGGGCTTAACCCCATTTTCTTTCTTTATTTATATTTCAAGAAATACCTAGAAGTCGAGGCCTTCTGTAAATATGGCTTAAACTCCTAGAATCGTGCACCGTTTGCTAAAAATTAGTGATTTCAAACAAGCGTCGCTAGATTTACAGCTTGCAATTTAAGTTGAAGAAGACCTTGCTCTTGCTGACAAATCAAACTAAATAGTTAATCGAATTAACGATAAATTAACCAACGGGGTAGATGTTTAACTAACACGCGACCATTTAGTGTTGACAAAACATAATCGGAAAATGACAAAACTCATAGATAGACATGCTATTTGATTCACAGTTATACAAACCGGTACAACAAAACATTGTACAATAAACAAAGGACACGATAGTTCAAGGGTTGGTGTAATTAAAACATTTGATTATGTTCCCGAAAATTGCATGATCTAATGCGAATGATGGATGTGTACGCATATAGCTGAAGAACGGTGGAACGTCGTTATGAGGAAGTGGAAACGCGTGTCAGATTCTTGTCGATCAATTAGCCAAGTAATATCATCTTCGATAACAATCAAAATATTTAGGATATCCTATATGACCTTCTCGTGAACCCCTCTTGACAGAAAAAGTATCATTGTATTGTTATTTCCCAACAGGTATCGGTGTAAATGTGGTTTAAAAAAATGATGTGGTTTAAAATTTTCTTATCTTAGGTATCTGATTCTATGTTGAAAGAATAGAACGACTGGTCCGACATTTTGCGCGTTCAGGTCGACATGTTTGAAGTAAGAAATTGAAAGTTTTTAAACACAGAGAAGGTCAGAGTGACTTTTGCAGAATGCAGACTGTTTTTTGATTGTCAGCAACCCAATGTGTCAGTTTGGATGCTAGAGAAACTGCAGAATATCCAGTTTACTTTTATAAACCAAAAATATGTTTTTTAGATCAACATTTAGAAAAAAGTTCATTCTACCATTCGAGATACATTGTACATTTTCTTAACTATTTTTGTATATTTCAATTGTCCAAGGAATAGCTTTTTGTATCGTAACCTAAACTTTTTTCTCCAAAGACCTACTGAAGCCTCCGAGAAGCGTTTGTAAAATTCATTTTATTTACGAGTTATGATATTAAATGATTTTGTGATTGACTGAGAAAGCACATTTGGCAAGATTCGAAATAACAAAGCAATGTAAATAAATTTTAGAATAAAGAATGAATAATCATGTTTTGCAAGGTTATTTGCGCTAATTTTTTCCAATTGTGTTTGAATGAGCATTTTCAAAATTTGCGACAATAATTTCTGCAAGGAATCCCCGAGTCATTTATTCCATTTGTCGACCAAGACATTTATTTAAGATCATTCTTACCTGAACCCTTGACTCTGTGAGTCCGATCCTGAGCGCCAATTCTTCACGCATGAAGATATCTGGGTAATGCGTCTTTGCAAACGCTCGTTCAAGCTCATTCAACTGCGCTGGTGTGAAGCGGGTACGGTGGCGCTTTTGTTTCGACAGTGGCTTATCCCCGTCCTGATCGTCACATCCCGTTGATCCTGGCGAGGAGACAACCCCGTTAGAGTCCTTGCTTACATGCTTCAGTGAATCCTCCTCTTTTAGACCTGCAACGAAAATATTTATTTATTTAATTTTAATTGTGTTTTGATTATGTTTAGAAACAAATGTATTTGAAGTTGTTAATTAATGATTTTAGATTTTTTATTTACAACACTCATCCCGTGTTTTTAAATGGGAACGTTCGAATTTCAGCTCGTTCCGGCCTAGAATAACGAAAATAAAGCAAGATTGTTCCATATATTGGACTAAATAGTAGCATAAAGTAAACCAAATGAAGGAAAATTACGGCAATGTGCACTAATCAACGCTAAATAAATTAAATCATCCGAAACCCTATCACGAAAGACTTTGTAAATGTGAACCAGAAGCGAAGGTTTATAGCCAAATAAGACTAAATAATAGAATCAACTTTATCAGAAAAGACAATAAATAATAATGATAATAATATAGTAGATGACTTACCGTTAGTGTGAGACATTATATTTTCAGCTTTTTGATGATGCTGAGAGAGCGACTGCATTAGAGAATGTCCGTCCATGGCAGATGCGCAAAACGATGTAACGTTAGAGACAATTTCCAAGTCTCTTATTTACCCCTCCCGTTTGGCGTTCCTGCGAATTGCCATATCACAATTAACCAATCAGCACTCCTTAGTATATCTCTTACGCTGTCATTTTGCTATATGTTAATTATTCATGACGTGTCGTGATTTCCCGACAGCCTTAACCAATCATAAAAATGCAATGAATGTATAATTAACAGTCGAATAACTACCAAGTACTAGCATTCCATTTATACGTATTACTTAAAGTCTATTCAATTCATTGAAAAATTATCAAGCAATAATGTGATTTCACGACAATGCAATGTCAACATGTTAATCAAACGTATTGTGTCGACTAACGACACAATAGCCGATAAGCGAGAAAATTCCTGCCGATTTACAATCCTTGTAGCCTCGATCAATGTGCATTCTGCATGTGTGTGCCTTTCTCATAACGAGCGCATTAGCCTTAATCATTTCATAACAGTAAGTTAATTTATAAAGTAGGAAAACAAAATGTTGAAATTCCATTATTAAAGAGAAAGGGGATTCGAGAAAGTCAGGAACAGGTTCCGGTCGTAACATACTTGCATATTTACTTACAACTTGAAATAACGTAAGTTCAAAATATTCAAACTGAATCTGCCTGTGAGGAATTTTAGTTAATTAATTTATCATTTATTTCATTACTTAAAATCAATCAGCAAATTGGCAAGAGAATGAAAAACGATACATCGTACGGTTTGGTTGGACCATAAGTTCATCTTCAATGACAACAAATCGAATCTTCATTTTTTATGATTGTATCAACTCATATTCCCCTATAGATGTATACTGTAGTACGTTTAATTTAGCGTTTCTTCATCCACGGTATGAGAAAAAGATTGATGGTTCCCGTTGATATCCATATAATAATTATTTACCATATATGAGTATTGAGTATATGACAATCAAAGCAATAAAGCAAAAAGTATTATAAAATCACTGTTATATTCCCCACTCTCCCATTGGTCTACATGTACATTATGCGTGGTAAAAATAAGAAGACGTATAATCGAACGGCCATGCATGTGACATCAGAAAAAATGTGTATTCAATGGTATTCACCAGGTGTGGCGTTTCGTCCAGTGTAAATCTGAAAATGATACGAAAATGCCATCATTATTGTTCTCATAAGACGACCCAATAAGAGAGTGGTGAATATAAAAGTGATAAAACAAATATTTCATACTATTGAGTTAAATTATTTACCTGTTCATCTTTGAATGATTCCGCAAGATGTATTCCCCTGGCCATTCGGGTTTCGGGGCCGAGAGCACCTTGCTAGAACCATTGAAAGATTAACAAGTAAAAAAAATTACCTCAATAGTATGAAATATTTGTATAATTATTTTCTGCATCTTTAATGACTCTTATTACAAGCTAGTGTATAGCATTATGTTCAGGCTCGAAGGGCTCGTCCCCCATATCATAAAATGTGGAGCTACCTTTTTTTGCTTTCTTGATGGAAAATCTACTCGCCACATAAACTGAGCAATTAAGATAACAAACTGGAGACATGGGCACTAGTTTTCAAAATTTGGCCCCTCCTTACCAAAAGATGGCTACGGGCATAATGTATCTACACTTCATGAATGTTTCAGCATTATTACGGTCCTGCATCATGACAAAGACATCTCATTTCTTCCCAGCCCTGAGATGCAGAAAGATGCTATGAGTGTCAGAATGCGGTCCTGATATAAGTCTTATTGTCTTGCTGTCATCCTATGGTACAAAAAAATGACGAAAAAGTTACAAATATTCGACTTTTTTTAATTGTTGCCTTGAGTTTGAAATCTGTTAAAAATTCAAATAGATGACGGGAAAAGCTTTCAAATATTTTAATTTTATTCCCTCTTTTTTCTAGAGACATTTCGATTTCTAAGGGGGACATTGGGAGCTATCTTGTGGTATATACTGAACGGTAGGGTAAATGAAATCTTCTTTTTTCATAATAACACGATAAATCCGAAGATTTCCATGTTTTCAATCGTGATGTTCCGTGTGGAGTTTTACATTCGTTCGAGTTTTTCTTTAGACTTTGCGCCCAGGGTACCCGCCCATACAATTTCCTCCAATATTGTTCATTATATTTTTCTCTTTTTAATAAAAATTCAATTAGCACATGCATGCACTTGCGTTCACGATGACGTATAAAATTCTTGGTTGCGTAGAGAAAATATAAATATTATCTCTCTCATGGAGGTTACCAATGTTAAAATAGGTCTGGAAACTACTGGTTGATGTCCTTATGATGTTTTCATCCAGTTAAATACATTTTTAAATGTTCAAACATGAAAAAAACAATTTGTTTGTATGGGTTATTCTTTTTTATAATTCTTGTGTTGCCTCTTGTGTACTGTCAAGTCAAGAAAGATTATTAGACCCTATTATAGCTATCTTAGTGAAAACTGGAATAAAAATGACGTTCGCGTTTTTGCTGATTAACCTTCCACTTTTCCTCTTAGATCTTAATCTTTCCTATCTCGGTTATAATTTCTTATCTATATACAGTCAAAATGTAATGAAATCAGAATTAAAGTAGCATTTGAGTGAAAGATGAATGTACTAATAACAATTTTTGATTGGGAGGGATTTTCTTTAGGTATCCCTGAAGCTCTATACATCAATTAGTGTGTGTTGAGACCTCCGGCAATTAGGGAAACTATCCTAGGGGAAGATGTCATTTTGTCACTGTGTTACACGTTTAAATCAAACGGCTTAGAGAGAGGTAAACCAAACTTATATGTCAAAAATACCCCGAAGATCTTAACCCTTGGTGTTGAGACAGATATCACAAGTATTACAGGGAAATGACGTAAAATAGGCATTGACAGAATTGAATTTCAAACACGGGTCGCTGTGTCGTATATCAGTCTCTGAGAGGTTTCTGGCATTGTCGAACCCCTTTGAGACAAATTACAAGTACAAATGACGAACCTAACTGACTAGGCTCATTTTTATTTCAACTAAAGACATATTTATTAGCATGCATTCTCGTATAGCATATGCCTAAATGGTAGCAATCCCATCAGGCATAAATCCCTTTGAAATATCGGGCTTAACTTTGATGCCCTATAAGATTAGTTAGAGATCTTGATGTAATTACAAACCAAATCTAACCAATGTATAGAGAGATAAACATTAAAATTACATCACGTGTTCTTCTCTTTTTCAGGACAGTATTCTACTTGAAAAAAGAGAAGTCTGGCCATTTAATCTTTTCATATGACGCAGCAAGACGTGTACATTTGCACTGACACTAGATGCATTTGTTGTAAAGTTACATAACCGGAGATCAACATTTTAGTCGATTTACATCTAATTATAAGATTGATTGTATCACAGTCGTATCGTCATCAATGTTTATCACTTATTCCAAGTTGAAAATTATCTGATTTGATGGCATCGTCTCAATCAATGTCATTGTCAACCCAAAACCAAATTCAGAACCGAAAAGCATAACGGATAAAACAGTGTATAGTATCTATGACCAAAGGTGATTATAGATTTAGTCGATATACTGACAACTTAGCTGACACCATGACATCATATTATTAAAAGTAAAACTATTAGTCCTAAGTTAGAATCTGAACATTTATTGAAATTACTCACAAAGGCAACCCTCGCCAAAGCTCCATGTGCAGTATGGCAAGTGAATTTAGACAGCCATATCTTCCACCATAAGTCTTTTCTGGATATAAATACAGTGGTTTTTATTAAAACAATATGTTTTCGTTAAAGTGAAGTCCCCATGATAGTAAAATATCAATCCAACTCTCTGAAAAACTATGGATTAGGACCCAACCTTGTCACTTTTTTAAAAATGTGAGGCTTATTTTCTAAAAAGAGGATCTTGTTTTTCTCAATTTAAATATATCAAAAATTTCTTCTGAACTATATTCATAACTTCTGAAAAGGGGATGGGTGTTGAAATAAGATAAAGTTAAAAAACATATTTCCCATGTTATTTTCCTATAGGGAAAACTCGTGCTATCCATTGTTTTCAGCATGATTTTGGTCATCGAAAATTGATATCTTCAAAACTAGACATTCAATACCATTCTACTTTGAAGATGTTTTAGACCCCTTGTTGAATATCTTTTTATGCAATAAAAATTAGAAAAAGAAGATCCTTTTTGAGCAAATAAGTTCAACATTTTGAAAAAATTGTTGACGTGGGGAGTTTACTTTGGGGTCCCTATTTATAATTTTTCGAATTGTTCGATTGATATTTTTATCATCATGGGGACTTCACTTGAAAGTTAACATGTTGTTTTAATGAAAACTACTGTATTTATGCCCAGAAAGTACTCATGGTGAAAGATATGACCGTCTAAAATCACTTGCCATACTGCACATGGACCTTTACTTTGATATAGAAAATGTTTATTTGCGCAAATAGTGAAGTACGTATATTACATAATTTCTACGACCTTAATATAAAAACGATTTCTTGATACCATTTACAACACCAATATTGAAGAAACAATTCAAAGTATTTAAGGATTTAAGCCGTGGACTCGGTGCATTGTGTGCTGAACGATTCCACGAAGATGTTGTTTCCAAATATTTGCCTGAGAACCCTCACAAAACTCTAGGTAAGGTACATGTTTTAGCTTCTGTGAAATCTAGTGGTCGTGGGGAATGCAAAATTTAGGAAACAACATCTGAGTGGAATGAAGCAGCAACTATGCATTGAGTCTTGGGCTTAAATTCTTTTCATACATTGCAAAATATTTTCTATAAAAGCACCTTAAAGATACACGAAATCACTAAAAGAACATATTTTCAATGAAACTTTTTGCAAGGGTCAAGTATTGGAAAAGTCAATTTCAATTTTATTCCACAACACGTAGAATTACTAAGCTGAAAGATAAAAACACAAAACGACCACTAGATTTCACAGAAGCTAAAACATGTACCTTACCTAGAGTTTTGTGAGGGTTGTCAGGCATCCGAACGACCGCCATATTTGAAATGCAAATATCACTAAATAAAGCTTTGCGCGGTTACATAATTCCTAGTGTCTGGTGACCTTTGTAAAACTAATTGATTTTGCCTCAAAATGCATAGAAATAAGATCTGCCTTAAAAAGTGCTAATTATAATCAATAGTTTTTTCTATATTTTGTTCGTTGGATTCTCCGCTTATATTTATATTACATATTA